TGATAGTAGAAAAGGCCTACCCGGGACCAATTCGGTCGACTGATCTCAATATTGCATTCCGCCTGTTCTCCCCGAGCAACTGGCAATTTGGTTGGAAAACGTTTCATCACACCAACCGAGGTGACACCCATCATTAGTGCCAGTGAAGTGGCAGTGTTTTTTACTTGTATCCGTTCGGTTATGTGTGTTCTTCTTCACCGAATATTTTTTTCTATTGTTCTCACTCTGTTCGACCAGATTCGTCGTTCAGCTGGTGCGCGGGGGGTGAGGTTGGTGGGGGAGGTGGTTGTTCCTCCGTCCAGATTTCGATTTTTTGTTCCGTTCTCAGGTCACGGCGTGACCCGTTTTTGTTGCACCATTTGATATTGAGTTGCACTGGCGTGTACACGTGATCCAGTTCGACGTACCTGTTTATCGAGTTGGTTGAAGAGTGCCAGGTCTCAAGACGTTCTCTGGCGTGTTTTGACCGGTCTTGGTTGATAATTTTCACTAGTTTGGGTCAAANTGGGTCAAACTGATGTCCTTCTTGATCTTCGTGGAGGAAAATCAACGTCAGTGGTTCATGTCTCCTGACTGCTGATTGGTGTTCGCAGATCCTTGTTGACAGTTTTCTTCCACTTTGCCCGATGTAATGTTTTGGGCAGCTTTTGTAGTTTATTTTGTAGATAACACTGCTTTTGTCCTTCTCCATCGTTCTCTCTCCTTTAGTTCTAACAGAAATCTCCTTAGACAGGCATTCGGTTTTTGAGCGACTTGGATTCCATATGATCTCAACAGTCTTGATGTCATTTCCGAAACATCCTTGATGTACGGCACAGTTTTTCTTGTTCCCGATTCTCCGTCAGCTGTTTCTTCCTTTCTTTGAGTCAAAGTCCTTTATGATGAAGTTTTGGGTGTAGCCATTGCAGGCAACTACTCTGGGGAAGTACCTTTCTTCTTTTCTCTTCATTGTGTCGGTTCTGCAGTGAATATCGATTCTTCCGAACAGTGTTCTAACACAGCATCTTTTTCGGCTGTGTGGATAATTACTTTTGAAGTTCAGAATTTGGTCCGTATGCGTTGCTTTGCGGTAAACAATTGCCTTCTGTTTTTCTGATGGCGTTTGATAATCAGGATGTCCAAAATGCCAGTTTTTTCTATCCTTCTCCGTTTCCATTATGAACTTGATGCCTTTGAATGTGTTATTGATGATGCTGTTTTATTTCTAGTTCCGACTTTTTAAGATGACAAATGTGAAATCGACATATTGCAGCCGAAGTTTTGGCATGGTTCTTGATAGCAACTCTTTCTACAGCTCCTGCATTACGGCTTCGGCTATGGATCCGGATATTGGTGATCCCATTGGTGTTCCTTTCAGCAGTTCGTAGATTTCACCCTCGAATTTGTAGAACGCCTGGATGCATAGTTCCATGAGTTCGCAATTGGCGGTTGCTTCCATTGGTTGGTTTGGTAGGTACTCAGTTATCGATTTCTGCAAAGTGGATCTTGCCAGGTCCAAGTCGATGGAAATGAACAAAGCCGTGACGTCAAACGAGACCGTTATTTCGTCTTCTTAGATGGTGACAGATCTCAATCTCAGCGAACATTTGTGGAATCGGTTTGGAAGAAACTCGGATCAGAGCGGGTAAAACAAATTGCTACTGGAGCTGAAGGCTACTTAGAAAAAGAAATCGGTCCGTATTAGTTAATTTGGCTCCAGATCAGAGATAGTGGGTATGGCAGGGCGGGTAAACACCGTTTTAACCTTGGAGTTTATTTCTTCTTTAGCGTAGGGTACGGTATGCTTTGGTGAATTGTGTAATTGACTTAAGTTGAATGAACATGATGCGTTTTGTCGTTACTTGGTCTCATGAGAATGTGAAATGCGGATGCACGGTATCAGTTTGGTTAGTGGGAGAAACTGTAAAGCAATGGCTTGTCTGGAGTTCTAGAATTTAAAATTAATTATTTTGACTTCAGAACCAACTGTAGTTGTAGACACAAGAAACAACTCTTGCAAACACAAATGCAGTCATTTGCATCTCAATGAAATAATCACTCCCGGCTTCGCAATCAGGACACAAAATGGGCAACGTGATGCTCCCTATTTTCTCAATATATATATAGATATATATATATAAAGAAAAATACAGTTTCGGAAAAGCTTCCGTCGAATCGGATAGATCTATTGTCTGATTTGTGAAAACCCCATTTTGTGGGGAAATATTCAACTTGCTGGAGCTAATCATGCACCTTTGTTCCCCAAAAGGAGTACATGTAACCAAATGGATACCAAGATAAGGAAAACAGGAATGTTCATTAGTGCTTGGGACA